GTTTTGTAGTGTGTAGATGGGGTGTGATTAAATAAAACGTCACAGTCTCGTACAACAATTCAATCAAAGGCTATCTGATAGACAATGTGACTTTTGAACAAATTGTAAAAAAATCAGCAGATAAAGCTCGATTGAGCAAAAATCTATTTAAATGCTTGAACACAAGTAAACCGCTTAAAATTTATTTTTTATTTTAAATTACAGAGTGTTCTTCTAAAAACTAATGTTGCCTTTTGGATTTTTAAGTTTCTATTTGTATAAAAAGTCTATCATGTTTTTTTTGTAAACGCATACGTATTTCCTTTTTTTGTCTGATGCAAAACGATGCAAGGCGATGAACGTATGTGTGAATACTTTGTTAACCTTAGCAGCTAGACAGGCGGGGTTTACACCGATACATGCTGCATACATACATACAAAAGAGAACCGCTCAATCGGGCTGTTCTACTGAACAAAACAGGCGGACCTTAATACCTTCAGTGCTGTGACGTAGGCGCACTGCACTGTAAACTTAAAAACTGCGGTCGAACTCCGGCTTTATTCTTATTGTTCGGTTTTATGAGTTTGTGGGACGTTAGAGTTGTGCTTTATTTTATGGAGGGACCCAAGCTACCAATAACAGCTTTATTTAACTAAAATATAAGCCCATATATGCCTGTATTTCGATACTGGAGCAGTACATAGAGGCAAAAGCTAACAAGTTTCGTTCCCAAACAAGCCAATGGATGCGCGGGTTTCGGAGTTGTTTGGGTCAGGAAATGGACACTGCTCTGGGTCTCAAGGTGCTGCGTCGAACCACAAACCGGGAAATGGCCTCGGTGTTGCGTCGAAGAAGACTTGTGCAAAAAACAAGAAGGCGAAAGCTCGATTCTCCCGCAACTTCAAACCAAGCAATAACACCCCATATCTACCGCCAGAGGTAAGAGGGAAACYACTCTCAGAAAGTGCAGCTAAATCAAATACTGTGTACGGACAATAACAAAGTGAGACAAAAAATAAATAACGGACGCTTGGCTTTCTTTGCTTCRGGATATTAAAGGCTTTGTAGTTCATTGCATTTCCTGTCGTTGAGGCTAGCGCTACCCCCTTGACTTTTCTCTGAGAGCCTGCGGTGACACGTCGAGCTCGTAGCTAGTCGAAAAGACAATGAATGAAAGCTATGCTTGGCCGAGGTTAGCATATTATTATTCACGAGACACTTAATGTTTACTGCAAACACAAGTCTGTACTCGAAATATGTGTCATGTGCAGTACAAAAAAGCTCGGTTTTATTCGGCGGCTATTCTTGGGCTAAGCTAGCAGGAGAGAGACAGCTGTGTTTTGTAAATAGAGGGGCGGGTTTGTTATTGAGCCTGAACACATCACTCATAAAATAAGTTATGTTGATTTTAGTTTTTTTTATATTTCGTCTCAATTATCATATACTTTATAACTCCACATACATTAAAGCTCATTATATTTTGACTTGGAATAAATTGAAAGTTAAAGAGAGACTCATCTTTGACTTATCTCGACTTGTTTAACCCCTTTTTATTGACAAAGCAAAAAACAACTTTACTGTAGTGATAACAAAAAGGCTCGTCTGTCCACATAATTTTATTTAGTTTTAGATGTGTGTTTTGTTTTAACAGCACAGTTAGTGGTTATGTATTAAGGCTAACTAAGCATTTAGTCACTTTGTTTAGCTGCCAGGGCTGCCTGCCTATTCACAGCTTACTGCTCATTCAGTGAGGTTTGCTTTGCTTTTTGTCTAAACAAATTTTACACTTCCCTGTCTGACAGCATCTGTTGTACCTCATCGGTCTGTTTGTTTCTCTCCCTGTCTTTTAGGCTGAAGAGGGAAATATAGAGTACAAGGTAAGCAAGTCTGTTTGTTGTAGGAGTGTTGCTTTGTTTTGGTTTYCTTTAAAGAGGACTTATTCAATGTTTACTCTAGGAATGTACTGTGTCAGCGACTTATTGGTGTCATTGTGTTTTTTTACACTTTTACTAATTGTCAGAAAAATGTGCAATGATATAAAATAAAATGTCAGAAGGGTAAAAGTCTATGTGCCATGTTGGAAGTCTACATCAGAGTGGAGTGGACAGCAGTTTTATTAGCCAACCTTTGCTTCTCAGTTACATCATCAGCTTTATTCCATATTTGTTCACTGAGTTTTACACAAGCTGTGTTTGGCTCATTTTCACAACAAACATGTACCTGTAATATAATATACATTTCAGCCCTTTGGGTTTATGTGGAGCAATGTTTTTAAGTGTTTTTCTTGTCTTTTCTTTTTGTAGCTGAAGCTAGTAAACCCCACACAAAACCGCTTCGAGCACCTGGCGACACAAATGAAATGGCGACTGCAGGAGGGTCGAGGTGAAGCCGTGTATCAAATTGGTGTGGAGGATAACGGCATGCTGGTGGGACTGTCAGAGGAAGACATGAGGGCATCGCTAAAGACTCTCTATAGGCTGGCAGAGAAGTGAGTCCAGAAAATATCTGTATTTACTTTTTTTTTAGATGTTGTTACGACCCCTTTCTTTAAACACAGCAACACGACAACCACAATAAATAAAGAGTCACTGCAAAGATGTAAAAAAAAGTTTCTTTTTATTCTGCTCCAAAAGGCTGCACAAACTGTGGGGGAGAAAGGGACCATTAGGTGTGATGCCAAACAAAAGAAACAAGCAAAACAAAACAGGGCCTGTCTACRGTCTGGTCTAAATAGAAAACAAAGAAAGAAAAACACCCCGATAAACTTATCTAAAAAAAGTGTTTTACCAAAACATTACATGGGTGGCACCAACCTATTTACCCTAGWGTTTTTTAACATAAAGTTACCTACGTACTTACCTAATCCTCTTAACTCCCACCACAAACCTTTAAACAATGGAGCAGGCTCCACAGGTGCAGCAGCAGCGAGGAGAAGAGCCAGCCCAGTCCTCCAGGTGAGCTTCTTAAATAGGTGTGGTGGAGTCCTGGTTCTGTTCAAAACATTCCATCCAATCAGGTTTTAAAGATCCAAATTGGCTCCAGCCTGCAAACTGAACCTGAAAAGAGAGGAGAAAAAGAGGAGGAAGAAAACAATTTGCCAGACACGTAACAGATGTTATTTGGTTTGACATCTAATTTTGTTTACTACCTGGCAAAAAAGAAAACAACAAGTCCTACACATATTTGGACCAACTAGGGCTGAACGATTTTATAAAATAATCTAATTGCGATTTTTTTATCGATAAATTGCGATTGCGATTTAATATGCGATTATTTAGACGTCCTATTTTGCAAATGCTGCCTTCCTGAAATTTGATATGCTTGTTTGTCTTTGTGTCTATGGTGTATAATGATGTGATTGT